ACGCTTAAATTCAGAGAGGTTAGATTAAACTTGTAAATGGATCAACCTGCTGGATAAAATCATAGCTCGCGAGATCACCTCCTGAAAACACGGAGCTTATTGTTGATAAGATCAAGGGCCCACTTGATAGCCTGTGACAAACTAGTATATTTTTAGCATCACAGAAGATGCATTATGCTTTCTAATTGCAACATAACTTGGAAACCCATAATAACCCTAGTTTTACTTATCTCTTTGCCTTGATGTAAAGCCATCTGATTGGGCCAATAACTACATGGCTTGTTAGGAATTCATGATGGCATCAAATAATTTGAGGTGGGAAGGGAGTTTGCGCCGCATGGAAATTATAGACTGCTGCTTAAACATTATTGACTCAGCCAGCTGTGGGCCTCCTCTGCCTCCCCTCGATAACTGTCCTCTCCTCCTACATATCAATACCCAGGACCTACATGTTCTCTTACTGCAGCCAGCTTTTGGCAAACGGGGGGCGGGGGGAGTTCGGTTCCCTCCTGTTGCCTCCTGTGCCTTCAGGATACATCAGCTACTTTGCCCCAACATCTGCTTTCAGAGAGACCAGCTGCAAGAGATATTGCTCCATCAATTCCATTGGTGATGTGGTGCAGATGAAATGTGGTCTTCCAATCAGAGAGCAGAAGCAATGCCATGTGACTCAGGCAAGTAATCATAGGCTGTGAATAGCTGAAATGAACCACGCACTTCACAACTAAGTGCAGAACTCCTGAACCTTGTCTTCCCACAACAGCAGCAACTACCTTCACTAAGGAGAGGAAGTTGGACGTTCACACACAGATATAATTCCCGCTGCCTCCTGGAGAGGAGGAAGAAGTATGGGCCACTTAATGGAATTTTCCTTTGCTTTATTCAGCACTGGAAGACACTTGTGACTATGGTGATAGGTGGAAGAAACAGACGGAAAGAACTGTACCAGGAATGTGTAAAGAAAACAAGGAAAATACTATCTGCTATACTTCTTTGAAGAAATATCTGAAGTTAGGGATGTATTTTGGTAAGACACTCAGTATTGCCTGACAGGAGGAGGGGGTTGTCTATGCCACGTGCTAACATGTTGCATTATACCATTATAGGCATTATGGATCCATTAGCAGGTGTTCAAGGCTGCTGAAATGACAGCCCAGTTGCCAAATTGCCATGCCTTATTCTCTTTTAGTGCAACATTTAGCAGAATCTCAACTGCTCATAAAGCACTCTCTGACTTGCTTTCTGTCGACATTAAAAGTTTTAACAAGAACCAATGGGCCCTACTGCTAATCTCTCGGTTTTGTACGGGATACTGGATATTTCTGTACATCGTTCATGTCACTCAAATGACCTAAGACACACCATTGTGTACATGAATCAAAATGAAGTTTACGATGGATTCTACTTGTTACATACACTCTCAGACAGCAATGCTAAACTTAACAGTTTTAAGTGCAAGGTACAAGCATACACATCACAATGTTAATAATTCCTGACAAGAGGCACAGTTATACTGTATACTTGCAGAACGTTGTTGGCTAAGTGCTTTTAACTAACCAAGCCATTAGGAATGTCTGTAAAAATGCTTTTCCAGGACAACATAATTGCTTTGACTTAAAGTTTTGTAGGCATAATAATGTTATTGGGGTGTGATAGTTTGCCGACATTGTTATGCCAAGAAAAATCTCAGTGTAGATGGAGTTATACTTTTAGTTTTATATCATTATAGCTTATCTTGCTTCACCAAACCGGAATAAGATCAACTGACATAAGCACTTTTATATTGGCACAACTGAATTGACACTAAGAATAATAATAATACCCAGTTCTTATAATCAGTTTTTATCAGTATATCTCAAAGCACTAGGCTGGCATGATGAAAGTGGCAAAACTTTTAAGTGCAGGCAAGACCTAACTCTCTTACATAAATACATTTTTTTAAAAAGCTACAAGTGAGAGCAGGATTGGGTTCCTGTTTATTCCAAAACACAAAAGATGTAGGGGAAAAAAATCTCTGCCAACAGATCACAATAAAATGGGCATTGGTGGTTACTTCTAAAGAATGAGATTGACTCTGCTGCCACAAATAATTATCCTAAGTTATAGAAAGTCCTCAGGGATACAGGTGGTCGCTGCGACCCCTGTATTATAGCAGCATCTATTGAAGGATGTCATGTTAAGCTAATGCTCTCTCCGTTTTGCTGTCCCTTGTCACTCTACGGACTCCAACAGAGCTACAGCTGGCAATCTGGGCCAGAGTTTTTAGATGTTAGAACTAAGAAGACTCATCTTTAAATTTTCTCCACTTTGTGACCACTGGAGGACAGGGGGAGAAACAGGCTCCTAAGGGACCATAATTTAAAGTGGGACTGAGCCTAACATGACTGCTTTTGATACATGCTACTGTTATAACTTTCTAGAAGGATAAGGAGACATCCCTTATTCCTGAGCAATATATCAAATGTTATGACATATGCACTGGAGGCAGTGGTCCAGTGAATAAAGCATTGCTCTGGGAATCAGGGTCTTATGCCTGGCTCTGATACTGACCTCAGACAAGTCACTTCCCCTCTCGGTGCCCAGTACCCCCATCTTTACGTGCCCTCCTTCCTGAGCTGCTTTGAGATCAAGGGATGACAAGCATTATGTATGCACAATTAGATAGGATTGTTTTCTTATTTTATACTTTATAAACAGACAGGGCCAGATACTCAGCTGGCGTGAACTACGTAGCTCCACTGATGTGAATGAAGGTGTGCCAGATTTACACTGGCTGAGATTTTGGCCCATAGAGTTGAATTCTGCCATTAAGTAGAGAGGCTCAGTTCCCACTGAATGGCCCTTCGTTCTTTGCACATTTATTTCACAGGAAGGCTTGACTATGATGCATCAGGGCCCTAATGTTTCAAATATCTATAGTTATTACTACTCACTTAGAAGCCTGACAGTTATTTTGCCCATTAAGTAAACATTCGATCCTCCTTAGCCCTCCTCCACTGGGTGTTTCTATCAGAGCAGAAGTCAATATGGCCTACTTTTGCTTACTTCTTTGTTTGTGAACAATGATTATTGATGTCATCAGCATGAACTGTGCAGTGCTCTGAAAAGCATTGAAAATACCTTGATCTCAGTGTTAGCCTGACTGCCTGAGAGTTCACACATGGTAATTTGTCTGAAATAGCTGAAGCTGTAATTGTACGTTTCTGCTGGTTTCTCAATGACAGAGTAGACCACATGATGGGAGCACAGTCTCCATTTGGTTTCTGCTATCATTAATGCTAATCAAGTTACACACACACACACAACCTTAGAAATGCAAAAGTCTTCAGTGATTTCCCAGTTCAGCAGAGGAATTTTATAATTTAGGGCTTGCCAAAAACAAGTAGAAAACTCATATGGACTGTCAAAATATTGTCATTGCAGGAGACAAACATGTTCCTAATGTCAGTGACCTTTTCTCTTAGCACTGAGCTGAAAATTGCACTTACGGACTCCATGAATATAAAACTTATTTATAAAAATATAATCCCAACCTCTCACTAACAACACTCTAGATCAGGGGTTCTCAAACTTCATTGCACCCGCGACCCTCTTCCGACAACAAAAATTACTACAAGACCCCAGGAGGGGGCACCAAAAGCTGAGCCCACCCAAGCCCTACCACCCCAGGTGGGGGTGTTTGTGTCAAAGCCCAAGCCCCACCACCCCGTGTGGGGGAGGTGTGGGGGGGCAAAGCCAAAGCCAAAAGGCTTCAGCCGCAGGCAGAAGGCCTGTAACCTGAGCCCCACCACCCAGGCTTCGGCTTTAACCCTGGGCCCCAGCAAGTCTAAGCCAGCCCTGGCGACCCATTAAAACGGGGTCGTGACCCACTTTGGGGTCCCGTCCCAGTTTGAGAACCCTTGCTCTAGATTATTAAAACTGATGAGCTAATAAAAAGTCCAATATACTCAGTTACTTTCCCCTGTTTAAACATGGTTGCTTATTGCAGCTCCCGGACCCTCAATGCCTGGTGCCTGAGGAAGTTAGAGCAGTCAGGGACCTACACTGACTTTTGCCACTGAGGACCTCATGCCAGCTGTTCCACCATGCCACCTTTACACACATGTCCTACCCCTTTCCTCTAAGGGAGCACGGTAGACAGCGCTCCAGTGGAGACTACCTCTGCATAAAGGGAGTTGTCCACCAGCTACCTCCAGTCATTGTAAGGCCAGACTGGAGAATCTGGCCCTTTCTATATTGTGGCATTTGGCTTTACCCCAGTGTTCTGGGGTAGTTTTCTATAATGACCTAGGTATGATAAATGTTTAGTGGCAGATCCTCTGCTGGTGTATACCTGCCTACCTGCACTGGCTTCCCTAGAGCGCGGCTGATTTAACACATCTGATGTTGTGAGCCTTACTTTTGAAGATTGCCGTATAGAGAAGGCCGAGAATAAGTTCCCAAAATGGTGTGGGAGGTGTGGGAGAGCCAATGGTTGTATACGAAACCTGACGCTGTTGCTACTGAGGGTACTGTGTTGTAACATTAGGCTACGTCTATGCTAGGAGCGGATTCCCCTGCTTGTGTGCATACACTAGCGTTAGCTGTCAGCTAGCTAGCACAAGTATAAATAGCTATGGTAACATGGGTAGCGGCAGCAGAGGCATGGCCGAGCTCTGCCCAAGACATACCCACTGCTTTTAGGTGGCTTTATACTTTATGCTGCTGCCAGTGCTACCATGACTACACTGCTATTTACACACATGCTAGGTAGATACGAGCTAGCACAAATATGTGTACATGAGCACGGGGATCGTAGAATAGATACAGACTTAATTAAGTTTCAGGGCACCTAGTGCCCTTATACAGGCCTCCGTTTAACACTGAAATATAAAGAAAAAAAATGAGGTAGAACATTACCTTTACAATTTGTGACGATTACAGACTGATTTTTTTCCCACTGTCAGCACTAGCATGTTATATATAGGCACAGTCAGAGAGGCTGTACATCTCTTACTTACATCCATGAACTCCACATTTGCCTTGGGACCAGTCGTCTCATTAAGGATTTTAATAGCCACAGGAATCTTTACTGTTTCTCCTTCGGGAACCCAAATACCCTAGGGAAAAAAGATACAAAAATTAACTCCACACCAATTGTTAAATCTTTCTTCATGGCTAGGTTTCTTTTCATTATACAATATCCAGTTCAGCAAGGAACATTAAAACTCAAAACACAGACTGTAAGTGCATTGAATCATAGCAATGTAGGGCTGGAAGGGACCTCAAGAGGTCATTTAGTTCAGCCCCTGCACCGAGGTAGGACTAAGTAAACCTAGACCGTCCCTGACAGATGTTTGTCCAACCTGTTCTTAAAAACCTCCAGTGATCCCACTCCCTTCGAAGCTTATTCCAGAGCTTAGCTACCCCTAGAGTTACAAAGGTTTCTCCTAATATCTAATCTAAATCTCCCTTGCTGCAGATTTAGCTGATTATTTCTTGTCCTACCTTCACTGGCCATGGACAACAAACTGTCCTCTTTATAACAGCCCTTAACATATTTGAAGCCTCTTCTCAGTTCCCCCCTCAGTCTTTTTTTCTCAGGACTAAACAGGCCCAGGTTTTTTTAACCTTTCATCATAGGTCAGGTTTTCTAAACTTTATCATTTTTGTTGCTCTCCTCTGGACTCTCTCCAATTTGTCCACATTTTTCTTAAAATGTGGTGCCCAAAACTGGACACAGGACTCCAGCTGAGGCCTCATCAGGGCCAAGTAGAGCAGGACAATTACCTCCCATGTCTTACATAAGACAGTCCTATTAATACACCCCAGAATGATATTAGCCTTTTTCGTATCTGCATATGTTGGCTCATAGCCAATTTGTGGCCCACTCTAACCTCCAGATCCTCTTCAGCAATCTTACTGCCTAGCCCGTTATTTCCCGTTTTATAGTAGTGCATTTGATTTTTCCTTCCTAAATGCAGTACTTTGCACTTGTCTTTATTAAATTGCGTCTTGTTGATTTCAGATCAGTTCTCTAATTTGTCGGGGCTGTTTTGAAATCTAATCCTGTCCTCCAAAGTGCTTGTAACCCTTCCCAGCTTGCTGTTATCCGCAAATGTTATAAACACATTCTCCACGCCATTCTCCAAGCCATTAATGAAAATATTGACTAGTAACAGACCCAGGACAGATCCCTGCAGGGCCCCGCTGGATACATCCTCCCTATTGGAAATTCAAAGACAAAACTGTAGTGTAAATGAACCTTCTTGACATGAAAACTCTTTGTTCAGCCATTACAGCTCAATAACATAAGCATGTCTATGACACGCAGAACTGTACATGTTCCTTTGCTCGGCATTGCTTCCAACCAGTGGCGTAATTAGGAATGTCACTTTGGGTAGGCCTCAACTTACAATGAATGGGTACCAGCAGCAGAGAGCTTGGCTGGGTTCCTTTTTGGCTGTAGCACCCTGGGCCCCATTTCCTATCGCAGCTACCTAGTGTAAGGCGTTGTTTGCCACATTGCAGAAGTACAGCCCTTGTTCCTTTCTGCAGCCACCTGGCTCTGACCTCTGTTGCTCCTGCCTGCATGTCTCTGCCCCACTTCCACAAGGAGCCTGTACTGGGCTCTGTTCCTCTAGCACTGTGCTCCCTCTGTCCCTGTTGGGTGGGTGAGGGGACAGTTATTGACTGATCTGGAACAGCTGGGCAGAGGAGGGTAGACACTCCCAGGAGCAATTTCTGTCTTCTTGCCAGGCCTCAGGAGCAAACTGCCACTGATGGTGGTGTTACAGGTGGGGCGGGGAGGGTCACACACGCTCTGGATCATACACATCATGCATGGACTAGACCATGATATGCTACGATCAATACCCCCTTCTGCAAAATGTATTTTCTCCAGTGAAAAGTACACTTAAGCTTTAAACTGAGCTTGAGAGCAGCTGATCCTTACTTTTAAACATCCCATGTTGTCTCTGCTTTCTTCTGCAATTATAAGAAACATTTTCCCCCTTCCCAGCTTTCTCGGTGATTGTGATGTTGGAGCATTGCTAAACCGGCATTGATCACAGCTCAAGCGTGCCTACATTCTACGTGCATGTACGTTGGAAAAGAAACAAGTGAGACACTCAGCGAGAATAGTACTTAGCACTAGAGTCAACAACATTTTGGGAATTTAGAAGTGTGGATGAAATTTCAAAATTGGAAAGAAAGGAAAAAACAAGATTTTTTCCCTAACCAGTTCTCACACTCCCCTCCATCTTCTCAGACAATTATAGGTAAGGCTATGATTTGGTCATGGAGGTCACAGCAGTCACCGTTCCGTGACTTTACAGGACCTCCATGACTTCTAGGGCTTCAGGAGGAGGAGGCCGGACTGTGCACCCCTGCCCTGCAACTGGGGCTGGATGGTACCAGGACCCTGCGGCTTCCCAGGCTTGGCGGGGGCTTCAGCCGGGGCCGCGCACCTCACCCCTGTGGCTTCTGCTGCGGGCTGCAGTGGGACCGTGCACCCCGGCCCGGCAGCTGCCTGGGAGGCCATGGGCCCCCCGTGAGGCTTCCCAGGGCTGTGTGCTCCCTCCCCCCCCCCCCCCGCCTGCTGCAGCTGGGGCTCGGCAGGGGCTGCAGTCGGGGCCATGCACCCCTGTCCTGCAGCTGTGGCTAGCTCTGGAGTGGGGGCCATGTGCCCCCCGTGGCTGCGCCTGCCACTGCGGCAGCTGGAGCTGGGGTGGTGCTCCCCGCCATGGCAGGGGGTTCAGCCTGCCAGTTCCCTCACACATGGGACTCCATTTCTTCCCCCTACCTAACCCTGCCCCCCGGTTATTTTTAGTAAAGTAACGGACAGGTCAAGGGCTCCGTGAATTTTTGTTTATTGTCCGTGACTTTTACTAAAAATAACCCATGATAAAATCTTAGCCTTAATTATAGGTGCTGGTCAGTTTTCTTGGAATTTTGAAATTTCATCACAAGTTTAATTACAAAATGTTGAAAATGTGATTTTCCCCACTTCTTTTTCAACCAACTCTACTTAGTGCTTCTAAGTACTTTAACTATGACCTTTAAACTGTGGAATCTGAAGTATTTAATAAACCATAAGGGAGATTTGCCATTGTTTTTAATGGGGAAAGGATCAAAGCTTAGCTAATTATGCTTCTATTATTATATAAGGAAGATAATTGTTATTATACCCACTTTACAACTTGGTCAAATTAGGTATAGAAATTAACTGGCTTGCATAATGTGCACACTGTATCAGTTATTGAGCTACAAATAGAACCACAAAATCCCATTCCTGTTCTTTAACATCAAGACTATCTATCCTGCATATTCGCCATGTTTGTGTGTGACATTATTTTTCTCTACATGGAATAACCCTTGTGTCTATACCAAGTGAAGCTGAAATCAGCAGATGAAACTAGAGGTGTACTCAAGATGCATCATCATACCCAGAGATGAACTCCCCTGACAGGCTGTGGGATGTGGACCTCAGGTTATGATTCAAGCTATCAAGAGCTGGGTCCCACACTGTGATGTAACACTTTCAGTGATCCGTAGGGTTCAAAACAGAAATAAGGCCACTCAATGAGGTTTAGTGAAGATACTTGCCTTATACACGGTTCCAAAGGCCCCAGAGCCAAGGACCTTGACTCGCTTTAGCTCAGTTTCCTTCAGGATACGAAGCTGTGCTTGGTTGGGTGCTGTGCCACTTGGGGTCAAGGGCTCCACCAGCTGCAAATCAAAATCCACCAGGATTAGACACTGGACACAGGAAGAGCTCGTGAGAATTCCTGTTGAAAATTTTCATCTGGTTCCTACTCATTCCAATTGGCTAACTAGTTATTAGAATAAAGCAATGGATCTAGTGGTGCCAGGGCTATCGATTCTTCAAGTGAACCCCGTCCAGGCCAGTAAAAAACCAACAGAAACCAGCTGAAAGATTCTAATGGAGTACATAATTTCCACTAGGGGCTGCACGATGGCATTATGAACTGGAAACTGAATCAGTGTCACAATACGTCCCCAATGACTTTTGCTACTTGCAGCAATATAAATGTTTTCTATATGATGGAAAGACAGCATTTATTATCAGTGCACCGTATTCTATTTTTGGCAATTTTAGTGCCCTTTTAAAGTGGCTGTTTTTCTTTTGAATAATTGTGACTTATTGGTTCATCAAATTCTTATCCTCTTTTTCGGGGTAAGGCTCATTGCTCTAAGCCAGTGGTTCCCAAACTGGGGTTCATGAACCCCTGGGGGTTCACAAAATGTTACAGGGGATTCTCGGGAAAAAATTCCCTAATGGTGGACAGAGCTGTCCATAGGGACCCCGGGAAGCATGGGGCCAACAGCCCAGAGCCTTGGGGACTTCCAAGAGCTAAGCAGATCAAAGCAAGCACATCTATCACACTGAGGAGATTTAAACTTCAAGGCTCCTTATAAGAACTGGAAAGGGAGGTGGATATTTTTTGCTGTTTTTAAAATTAAACAGGCTGCTAGTGTTGTTTTTAAATTATTATGAAGAACAAGTTTAAGCTTTGTTGTAACGTGCGTTGTTTGCCTGGACTGCTCAAGATCTGAATGCTTGTGTAGGAGGAACTCTTTGAGTTGGCATCTTAAATACCTTCCTGCTGTTTCCAATCTGATACTCCTTGATGAATCATAGGAGCCAGAGGCGCCAGTATGGGGGGGTCCCCCCACTTTTCCAGTGGTGCCCCTCCTGGTCCTGGGGTGCGCGGGGGCTTTGCCCCCACACCCCCTTTTTCTACTGGTGCCTCTGATTGGAGCCTTGTCTTATAACAGGCTTAATCAAAAGCGACACAAGCTACAAAAGTGAGATCTTGGAAGAGTGTTACCATTTTCATAATGTAATAAAAATACTGTAATGATAAATAATTAATAAATAATGTGTAATAAGCATGTCATACATACAAATTTTATATTTCCAAGATCACTGCTTTTATAATTTATGCTGAGGTAAGGGAGAAAATTCCTGGAAATATTCAGTTTTAGGAGGGGGTTCACGAGACTTGACATTTTAGTGAAAGGGGTTCGCAGGTTGTTAAAGTTTGGGAAAGACTGTTCTAAGCTTTAGTTGTGCCTTAAAGGAGGGCAGCTTTTCAGAAGCAGAAAACATCTGCAGTAGAACAAGAATTTACAGCCCCAACTAATTTATTGGAACGTTGTGAATTACGATCCAACAAAGTTTGTGAATGAAGTACAACGGTATATATGTTCAGTCAAAAAGCCATCCGATCTCAGCAACATACAGCCTTTGACTAAAAAACAATGTTTCTTTAAAAAGAAATGAAAAATAAATGAAAAGGACAATACTCTAAACACTGACAAATAGCCTGTCCTCTCTCAGGATAAGGAAAATAATTAAGGGCTACTCCTACTCAAATTGGTTTGAAACCACTGCAGTATTTCAAAGTGTCTTTTTACAAGGCTAAGTGCATTGTGCTCTTCAGTTTGAACACTATTATCATGCTTCTATGAGCATCATGGACTACTTCGTTAGCTGAACAAACTGCTTTGGTGCAAGAAGAAATACCAGTAGCTGGAAATTACTTTTAAAAAGTACTTTAAGAAAATACACAACAAAAACAAACAGCAACAAGCCAAGTGAATGCGGAGAATTTGACAGCGATATTTTCATAGTTTGCTTCCCTCTTCCCCCCCAATATAGTTTACTTTTCAGTACTCATTATGATGGAAGATGTAGGTCAAATGTAAAAAAAAAAAAATAGAGATATGGGAGAAGGTGAACACACACAGGGCCACAATCTCTGGTTCACTTCTTAGATTCCCACAGAACTTTCCCCCAAATAATTCCTATTCCCCTTTGTGCTGCCCTGGCAGTGCAAAGGAGATGGAATCTGGGGTTTCACCCATGCCAGGGATTCTCCCAGTCTAAGGCCAACCCTAGAAGATGAAGAGTTGGTGTACCTTGCTCCTTCCACCCTCCCCAACAGCTGACCAGCACAGGGGCACGCTGGGGTGTAGAGCAGCAAGAAGGAGATATAACAAGAGTGGAGGTATAACCCATTGATCAGTGTGTATTGATCTGCAGAGGTTATGGATCTGTTACAGACCTCAGCTAAAAAGCCTGGCTCTTTAGCTCAAGCTATAGAAACTCCTACGTTTAGCTGTGGATGTCCCTGGTTCACTCCATGGTGTCTCAGCCAAGATGGCAACTGTCACAAGTGCTCAGCCACTGGGCAGTCCCTTGGGGATGGTTGCCAACTGGCACAGGTTAGAGTTGCAGCCATTCAGGAAGAAGCTTAATGAAAACACAATGTTGCTATGGAAGTCATTTGGGATCAATCTCACGCCACTGAATTCAATGGGAGCAGGAGCAAGACCTCAATGACACCAGTCATAACACAATGGAATCAGACGACCAATGATTGCTGGTTTTCCTAGACTTTTTTTTTCCTTTAGAGGGATCGGTCTATACTCTGCATCTCTTAAAGTGTGTCAGACACATAGGGTTTAGGTGATCCTGTGTCGACCTTCATTTGTCACTGAAAATTTAAGATTAAACTTTAATGATGATCAAATATGCATTTCTAACCAAAAATAAAGCTTTTGAAGAGCATTGGGACTTGTTCCCCCCCATCAGGGCCAATCCCCAGACAGATTTTTTGCCCCAGATCCCTAAATGGCCCCCTCAAGGGCTGAACTCACAAACCCGGGTTTAGCAGGCCAATGCTCAAACCACCGAGCTATCCCTCCTCCCCAGTTGTGAAGCCAAGATGGTAGGCAGGCTGCATTGAGCCCAAATAGTTTGTTCTATGGCTCCATCTCACTTTTTTGCCAATGGGACTATGGGCCTACTCCAGTTCCCTTCTGATTCAATGGAAGTTTTAGGAGTAAGTTCCTGAGTCAGCAAAGCAATTGTGTGATTATTTATATTGGGGTCGTACTTACAGGCCTCAAACAGGTTGAGGCCACATTGTCTTACCCATTGTACAAGCATGTAATAAATGAGCATTCCAGTACGTAAGCATGTGCTTAACACCATTTGCTTTCAGCAAGGGCCTTGATCCAAAATCCACTGAAGAAAACTGGAGTCTTCAATGGGCTTTGAATATATGATTAAGTGATTAGATGAATTAGGGCCTACTTTCTGTTGGGAACAGGACTGGGACATGTATGTCAGAGAAGATGATCAAAATGCTCCCTTATCATTAAAAATATATGAATTGATATATTCATAGGTGCTGACTCCAAGGGTGCTCCAGCCCCAGAGCACCCACGGAACAAAATAGTGGGTGCTCAGCACCCACCGATGGGCCCTGCCAATCAGCTCCTTCCCCTTCCCCCAGCGCCTTCTGCCCGCCAAAGGGCCTTGTTGATCAGCTCCTCTCACTCCCACACACAGAGTATCAGCTGTTCAGTGGAGGGCAGGAGGCGCTGGGGGGAGGGGAGGGAGCGAGGGCAGAAAGCGGAAGTGTGAGGGCGGGGCATGCTTGGAGGAGGGGGTGGAATGGGGTGGGAAGAGGCAGGGCGGGGGCAGAGCGGGAAGAGGCAGGACCTTGGGGGAAGGGGTGGAGTGGGGGCGGGGCCTGGGGTGGAGTGGGGGGTTCGAGCACGCCTGGGAAATCAGAAAGTCAGCACCTCTGGATGCATCAATAGAAAACTAATATCCTAGAGAAGCTTCATTCACACTATCCAATAAATCCAGTCTATGGCAGTGTTTCCAGGGACTCAGTGGGGGTTGGATTAGAACCCTAATATGTTCTGTGTAAAAAGTAGAGCAATATTCTGCCTCTTTTCAAATATTCAGCTTTTCTGAGAGGTACAACAGAAAATATCCTCACCTCCGTCTCCAGGAACCTCCGCAAGGCCCTCTTCTTTTTTATGCTTTTCCGCCGAACATAAACGGCAAACGTCAGACCCACAATGATGATGATAAAGAGTCCACCAATCACGCCTGCAGCAATCAGGGGGGTTCTACCAATCAGAATCAAAGACTTTAATGCAAGGCAGGGAAACAGAGCAAAGAACAGCTGCATGCATGAAATAAACCACCTGGAAAACTTATGAAGCGTATAGCTCTCAAAATGCAGTCATGTCAGATGATAAATCAAGGAAAGCTCATTAAGTGTGGCATTGCTTTCCATTATCACATCTAGGATATTATTTTTTAATGCAGACTTGTGAAGTCGTGGACAAGGAAACACAACATGCACTCTGATGGCAAATGCAAAGCTGCAATGGCAAAATGAGGATACATGTACTAGAAGCTTGTTCTGCAAGGAAGTTAACTAATCTGAGGTCTTCCTTTATAAATCCAACTGGATTACCTCTTCTTTTTTGCATATTTAAATTTAAAAAATAACACTGAAATTATGAAAGACTAACTGATACCACTTTGGGCTGTGATCGTAAGTTAATCAAGGCTGGTTCTGAAAGAGGCACATCATTCCAGAGACATTGCGACATGGGGCGCTTCAGAGAGCGTGCTTAAGATACTGTACTATTGGAGGTGTCATGTTTCAATGGAGATGTAAACTGAAGCCCTGATGTTTTTGCAAGAGTTAGGATGTTAGCTCCCAGTGTCGGTATAAATGTCACCTTAGGTAAATATCACAGCTGTGCACAATTCAGCAGTTTTGGTTGATAAGTGTTCAGTCGAGTGTACCCCCTAAGTTTTGCTGTGATATTTGGGTTCAAACAAATGCCAAAACTCAAATGATAGACAAAGACTGCCGAGTTAGGTCTTGTTTAAGGTTGAAACCATGTGACGCTGCCAAATTATGCATGGCTTGCACGCACAACCACAAATCCATCCCTGGCCCCCACAACTCAGCCCCAGCTGCACAAAAGGTTTGTGAACTTCTGAGGGGGAGTTCAGCCTCTTTCATCTGGTCATGGATTCCTTGGGAGTACATCAGACCTTTACGACCCTGTTTCCCTAGCCTCTTAGTTCAACTCCAGCTAATCTCAAATCCCTATGTCGTATTCCTCCTGGATCTGGCAGCAAGGAGTACAGTTCTCCTTCAGCTCAAGGAGCATAGGGGAAGGAGTAACCCCTTACGGCTTCTACTCCCCATACCTCAGCAGTCTCACTCCAGTCCAACCAGAGCTTCTGATCCTACATCTTGGGCAGCTTTCTGTAAGTATGCTGCTGATGTAGGGTAGTTCTCAGCTTCTCCAGCCTTCCCTATCTCTCTCACCCCAACTCTTGCTGGTCAACCAAATAGCCACAGCTACTCTGTGCTGGAACCCCTTTGTGGCTGTAGTAGAGTAAGTTTTACACACCTCGTCACACGTAGTATTACCCTAGCCACTTTGAGCCCTTGTCATAGACCAGGGCCCCCACTGTGCTAGGCACTGTACAAACACAGAACAAAAGATTGGACCTGCCCCAAATCGCTGCAAGTGTAAAACAAAAGACAACAGATAGACAAATGGTGAGTACAAAGAAACAATGAGCCAATATTGGTCAACATGGCAGGCTGTGGCCTCAGCACACCAGAAGCCTAACTGTTGTCAGCTTTCTGTAGGCACCATGGTAAAAGGAACATTTGGAGGAGGGATTTGAAGGAGGTTTACGAGATAGCTTTCCGGATGTTTATGAGGAGCTTCTCCAAAGCATGAGGGGCAGAATGAGAGAGAGCACAAAGATTCCTGTTTGAAAACAAGTGGGCAATTGGAGGTGGGAGTGGAAATCTCCATAGTGAATGAGAGAAGATAGGTAGGGTAGGGATAGTCTGGAAAGACCTTTTAAAGTAAGACAAGTAGTGCATGTTTGATGCGATAAAGAAGGGGGAGTCAGTGGAGGGATGCAAAGAGAGGGGTGACATGGTCAAAGTGATGGGCTAGCAAAATGATCTTTGCAGGGGAATTCTGAATGCATACGAGCAGGATAAGATTGCATTTGTCAAGGCCAGAGAAAAGGGTTTTGCAGTAGTCAAGATGTGAGATGCATTCCTAGCTGAGAGTTTTAGCTGAGTAGATGGGCATGAAAGGCCGTATCTTAGAGATGTTACGTAGAAAGAATCTGAAAGACTAAGATATTGCCTGAATGTGAGGACCTTGACAGAGATCTGAATCTAAAGATGACACCCAGAATATGGGCCCGAGTGACAGGCAGGATGGAGGTGCTGTCCACGTGATATAGAAAGGAGGTTGCGGGGAAGACTTGAAGGGACGAGTAAACTCTGTTTTAGGCATTTTAAATTTGAGGTGATGGTTAGACATCCATGAGGAAATGTCAGAGACAGACCAATACTTGAATTTGGACAGACGGAGACATCTGGAGTAGAGAAGCAGAGCTCAGTTCTCAGCATAGAGATGGTAGCTTAATTTGTGTTTGTGGATGATCTTACCCAGATATAAGGTGTAGAGAGGGAGAAGAGAAGGGACCAAAGATGGAGCCATGTGGAATTCCCTCAGAATGCTGGAGGGGAGATTATGGGGGTTCTCCAAAGGACACGCTGAAGGAGCTAGTAGAGAGGTGAAAAGACAGAGTCATGGAAGCCAAGCAAGGACAAGATTTCACGAAGACCATGGTCAGCTGTGCCAAAGATGCTAAAGGTGGCTGATAGGTCAAGGACGATGAGGATACGTTCTGAGGTTCCGCTAGAAAGAGGCAACTGTAAATTTTGGCGAGAGCGGTTTCTGTGGAGCACAAGGGGCAGAAGCTGGATTGGAGAGGGTCTAGGATGGAATTTGAGGAGAGGAACTCCAGACAGTAACGATAAACAGTGCATTCAATGAGCTTAGAAATGAAAGGGCAAAGGGGCAATATTTGGAAAGGCAAGGGAGGTCAAGGATGGGTTATTTTAAAATGGGAGAGACTAAAGTATGCCCATATTTTGAGAGGAAAGAGCCAGGGGAGAGCAAAGGGTTAAGGAGATAGGAAAGGGAGGGGATGAGGGTGGGCACAAGGAAGATCAGGAGTTGGGATGGAGGTCATTGGCTCACGTAGAGTGATTAGAGTAGGATAGCAGACAAGAAACTTCTGAATCTGTGGCAGAAGAGAAGGAGGGAAGAGTTGTAGGAGGGGAGAGGGAAGGTTGTATCATTCTTTGTCAATTATCTCTTTGAAGAAATTGGTGAGATCCTGTGTGGAGAGAGAAGTGGAGGCAGAAGAGTTTGAGGAGTGAGCCAAAGATGGCAAAACATGACTGGGATTGAGGACATGGGATTCAATGCAGTTGGAGAAGTAGAGTTGTTTAGCTAGGAAGACAGGAGATCTAAAGGAAGAGAGAATGACTTTGTAGTGGAGGAAGTCAGCCTGGGTCATATGATTTCCACCACAGAGAGTCTGCATTGGGAGAGCAGGAATGGAAGCAGATGTTGGGGAATGAGGCAGGGTTGGTGGTTGGCATGGCAGACTTTCCGAATGGAGAGGGGACAAAAGAGAAATGGGTGAAGGAGAGTGAGGGATGAAGAGGATCAATGGAAGAAAAGAAAGAGGAGGAGAGAACTGAAAACAGACAAGGAGTCATCAATGCAATGGGACGTCACAATTCTGGGACGTCACAGAAAGGCTAAGTGACAAGGCGAGAGAGAAAGAGTTGATGGACAATGCTGAAAGAGACCAGGTGATGGTCAACAAGGGGAAATTCAGACACCGAGATATTAGAGAGAGCAGTGTTGTGACCTGGTGAAAGTTCCAGGTGTTTAAGAAAACATGAAATCATTTTGTTGCGTTTTAGGTGTCGTTATGAAAGGTTCACACAGCTTGATATTATATTCTGACTGCCTAAATGTCTCCTTTCTTTTCAAATGGATACAAATCAGCTGTAGAACATTGCTAATTTTGTTAGGCAATGACAGCCCAGTTCCCCCGCAGACATGGCCACTTTTCAGTCCTGTGTGAAGTGGTCCACACATACACACACACACCCCTTTCCCAGACCTCAAGAGCAGCTCTGTGTGTTGAAAGCTTGTCCTCTCACCAACAGAAGTTGGTCCAATAACAGATATTACCTCACTCATCTTGTGTCTCTAGTTTTATAAATACATGTTTTCACAAAAGTCTAATTTAATAGCTAGAAATCAAGCTGTGAGGTGTTGCAGCTCCTCATCCATTACCTCTGCTCTTACTATAGTATTTTATTATTTCCGTCGGTAGAAACTCTCATTAAAAAGACATTTAGATCTTAATATTTCTCATACAAATAACAAAACAAAAGCTCTCCCAAAGGGGGTTCTGAAAAACTGACAATAGGGGAAGCTGTCAATTGGACAATGCTCAAAGATTTTTTTGTGAAGACCTTTCTCTACAGGAGCACTCCTGCACTACACACAGGTGACACTGAAAAAATGCTTATGGCCTATTAATAGCATGCTGTACTGCTGTTGAAAATTGACAGGAGTTTTACACTGAGTATCCTGCTGAAAATCCCAATGGATTCCTCCAATTGCTTCCTACCACAAATCTGACCAGTCAGAAGTACTGTATCAAATTCAGATAGCAGAAATTTAAATCTGCCAAATTTAAATTGTGAGATTTGGGTAATAAAGCTCCATGTTTAAATGTTCACTATCATGCTCACCCATAGGAAAGTGACTAATCCTTAGGTGCTTAACGCATCACTTAGATATTTAAATATTTGAATACAATCCAAATCAAGTCTCAAGACCTCAGACATTTGCATGTGTTATTCAAAACTTCTGAGTGTAAACACCCAACTCATTATTATGCCCCCAAAAGTGGCATAGTAGAGATCATGTGGGACTTGAAACAAGCATTGCTAAGTGTTACCCAATAAGACTTAAGTAATAAAACTGGGGTAGGTTTTGCTTTGGAACGGAATAGTAAACATTTCCTTCACTGTAATAGTACTTCATTTACAGCACCACCATCATGACTTAAAAGTCATATAATCTTGCAAACATTACAGAGGGAAAGAGATATTGGGATCATCCTGTTCATCTTCCTGCCAATGCTGAGTTCCTCCCCAGAGTCAAATGTCAAGTGCTTTCTCCTGTTTTAA